ATTAGATTGAGAATAGGAAACTGCTTGATATTCCCTTGAAATCCGTATGCAACAAAGTAAGCGACGCATCTGTACAATAAACGGAGTCTTTACAGTGGAAATATCCGCAGGTATTTCAAGATGGTCTGAGATTGTGCACGAAAACCAAGGCCAATCTTTTCCTGCGGCCAGAAGCAAAGCCAGTCGTCCGACCGAAGAGACCAGTTCCATATGAAGTCGCTTCAATCGTGGAACAAGAACTTGACAGACTACAGTCAACCGGAGTTATCAATCCGACGAATTTCTCTTCATGGGCAGCCCCCATTGTGATTATCAAGAAATCAAACGGAAAGATAGGCTTATGTGCAGGTTACTCTACTGGCCTGAATGCCGCCTTAGAAGACCACAAATACCCCCTACCCTTCCCTGAGGACCTTCTTGCACGTCTAAACGGTGGCAAGTGTTTTGTCAAACTGGACTTGTCAGACGCATATATTCATAGTGAAATGTCAGAAGAATCGCGTGAGTTGCTAAAGATCAACACTTACAGAGGACTATACCAGCATAGACGCACACTATTTGGCGTTAAGTCGGCCCCGCAATTTTTCCGCAGATCATTGGTACGATGCTACACGGAATACCTTATGCCGCTGCATACCTGGACGATATCGTTATCATGGGATGTAACCAAGAAGTACTACAACAACGAACGGAACTAGCGCTTGACAGAATAAAGGAGTACGGCTGTCGCTTACGAATGGATAAGTGTGAGTTTTTATGATCTCCATTACATACCTGGGCATTATCATTGACTAAAATGGACGAAAACCTGATCCATCAAACATTAAGGTGATCAAAGAAATGCTTCCGCCGAAAGAGGTAGCGACGTTGGGATCATTCCTGAGTATGGTGAGTTATTACGGTACCTACCTGCCGTCCATGCACAACCTAGGAACACCATTAAACCGGTAGATGATGGACGTTAGGTGGGTCCGGACTACCGAATGTCAGAAAGTCTACGACAGTATCAAATTGTTGTTAAGCTCAGAACTAATGCTAACGCACTACGATATAAAAATGCCAATCGTAGTGGCATCGTGTCCAAGAGAAAGTAAGAATTGCCTAGAGAATCCACTATTGTAGCGAATAATCGATTATTAAGAAATTATCGCATCGATTTCGAACATTCCGGAATGTTCTAGTATCTGCACATGACTAAAAACAACCTGCCACCTCGACAAAAGATATGGGGAACCACTAACTTGGGTAGCTGACCTACCATTTCTAAAAGTCGAAGGTCAGTGAGAGACCTATAAATACAGCCAAGGTCCGCGGTAGTTGTACAGTCTCTTGTTAAAGGCGGTTAACACGTGTCTTTGACAAGATCATTGGCGTTTTGCTTTTTCCTTCGGTTGGGCTAGAGGGTTTGTGGAGCAGTAAAGTGTCAATTTCGGAATCGCGTCTAGTGAGAAGAGTATAATAAATGGCGACGGAGAAAATTGGAAATGTGAGGAATTTTGCTGCTGAACAATTTCAAAAGCTGCTTTTCCAACAGCAAGCTCAAATGGAGGCACAAATGAAAACGATTGAAAATCTCACACAATGCTTGAGTTTGCAGACAACAGAAGCAGCGACGCGGGACATGTAGGCGAGTTCTGTTGATCTTATCACGAATGTAATCAATGAATTCAATTATCACGCGGATTCTGAATGCACATTCGAAGTGTGGTTCAAACCATGGGAAGCCATGTTCCTGACTTCATTCGTCAGAACCACTCCTGGAAGGTGCGATTGCTACCCCCGCAAGCTCGGAATAAGTGAATATTCAAGGTTGATAGACCACATTCTGCCCAGACAGTAGAAAAATCTAACGTTTCACGAAGTAGTGTCGCAGCTGAAGGAAATTGTTGGTGAGTCGGTATCCTTGTTCAGTATTCGCTATCAATGTCTGAAATTGTCAAATAGGAATCGGACGACTTTGGGACCCTAGCAGATATGATTAACCGTGAGTGTGAGCGTTTCAAACTACGCTCTTTAACGGACGATCAATTTAAATGTCTCATTTTCGTCAGCGTTCTACAATCCCCCAGTGATGCTGAGATCCGCATGCGGCTTTTAGCTAAGCTGGATCAGGATCCTGATCTGACACTGAAGGCACTCGTAAGCTAATGCAAACGGCTGTTCACTCTGAAAAACGACACTGCTCTGATCGAACAGAATTGTTTCGCATGGTGCCCACAGTGAAAAAGTCCAGGACTGTCAACTCAAGCAAACTCTTCAAGAGGTCTACGAACAAACTGCCCACAGCATGCTGGTCATGCGGTGAATGGCAGTTCGCGCGATTTTGTCCGTTCAAAAGTCATATTTGTCAAACGTGCCATAAACGTGGGCATAAGGAGGAATTCTGCAGTCAGGTCCGGTCGAAGAAAGTGAAGTAGTATCGAAAGGGGAATTCTAGGAAGGATGGCGTAGAGTCTCTGTTCATAGTTGTCACATTCCAAAGTGAGTGTAAACCTAATACGCTTTAGGTACAGCCACATCCTTATCGTAGGTGATTTCACTATACACGAGCTGGAGATACAGTCAATCCTCAGTGAACAGTTCAAAGCCGACTCGCATAAATTCATTGTGGATACTCCATCGCTCCAACATTAAGGCTTGGCATCCGTGTCAGAAGCAAGATCTTACTGCACTCGAAACTTCACAACGAAAAGTATTCAATAGATTTGGGAGCCTCTTCTATCTGTCCCAAAGAGTGTACAGTGGCCAAGTTCAGAACCTTCGGTGAGAAATATAACGCATTAGCAAACCCCGAAGAACCCCAATCACATTCGCTGATCGCTCCTGGCACTCAGGTGTAACACTAACCTGAGAAGATATCATTTAGATTTGGCAACGCAGTATGGTCAGTTGGAATGCCTCGATAGTTCTTCTCTTCTCCAGTGCGCCAGCCGCGAAACGCTCACGACGTACGTTGTTTCTGGCCCCAAGTTGATGATATCTCAAAAACCGCGTGACGACGCATTGTACCATTTGCATCTCATTTAATAACTTCCGTTCGACAGGAGCCTACATTAGGCAGCAAGACGATGGAGTCCCGAAATATAAACAAATGGATATATGCTTGTTAGCATGTGAACAGCTCTGTGAATGCATGATTCCGTAGTCTACTGTATTGACGTTCTCTTTGCTAACCTATTCCAATTTTCATCTCGGACACACTACGAGGCCTGTTAAGCTATTTTACCCGTAAATACCATTGTTTCATTGCGGTGCTAGCTGCGATGGCGGACCACCAGTTAACAGGTCGCTAGATGAGTGTAATCCATTTCGCGGAACCATGGATGTTCAAGTAAAACTAGTGTGGGCAGGAGCTGAGGTGTTTTTCCCATGTATGCTGTGTTGGCCACCTGAATGCGTTTGGCATGTGATGGTTTGATTCATCGGACCAAGCATCGCTGAGGGGGAAGAGGAGGATGAAATAAGCGGACAAAACTGTACTACCCATGTGTGAACATACCAGGCGGTTGTGATGTTTACCACATCTTTAAAAATTACGGCGTGCTTAATCAGTCGATGCGTACGGGCTTGCAGGTCAGTCGCTATTTCGTAGGGCCTGCACAAGTCCGTACTGTGTAATCTGTCATTCAATTATTTCCCGCCTCATGCAGTCGTATGAAGATCAGTAGATGCCGATAGTCTAGTAAAGATTTCTCATATGGTTCAGAGCTCAGTAGCTCGGTGCACTGCAGCTGGCTTAACAATACATGACGGCTGTAGTAACCAAACAGTGCTATTCGTTTTGGTTCAAGCTTGCTACAGTCAGACTTCATTGTGTGCCCTCCCAAGTTCGACTCTCGTTTAGCGAAGCTGGACGCTTCCAACCAGGTGTGTCCGACTTGATCGCATTTTCAAGTCGCGAAGGCCCCTTATATCCACTTGTTCACAAGCCCATCCTAACGTTGCGGCATAACAGACGCCGATGATACGCAGTTTTCCATCTGTGATAAAGATGCTGGGGAATGGTGAATGGGTACTACCTGCTTGCAAGCTGCGCATATTCCCGTTAAGCGTCAGGACCGCGTCATAGACTTTGAGCTGGAAGACGCCGAAAAACACACAACTTTGATGCATAAAGAGGAGAAAGACCCGGCAAATTCAAAAACACAAATAAAGCAGTGGAGCTCCCACATATCAAGAATGCTTCTGAACTAACAGCGCGGTTACTACAGATAAACATAATCGTGGTAACACACAAAGCCAATGCTACTCTGAGAGGGTTGCTTTCAACACTGAGGGAAAAAGCTAGCAAACCAATCAAATCAATGTCAGTATCCGGTAATTTGCAACGGGTTCGATAGAAAATACATCGGACAAAGGGAAAGAACTCCTCACACGGATCACAAGAAATTTTTAAAAAGCATGAACCATAAGCATAAGTTACTTTATACTGCAAGGTCGTCAATTTAATTTGGAAAACATACATATCTTAGCATGTGGGAATACGAAGCAGGGAAGTCAATTTCTATGAGCATGGTACTTAAAACAACTCGAGTAATCAATACATTGATGAGCAGATAACCACTAACTCGATTGAGTACCCCCTAATGGGAGGGAATACCATACTAACAACTCAATTAGCAGCTTCAGCTGGGGAGGCAAACTGAACGGGATCACAAGGCATGGGTTGAAATGGGTAAAAGGTTACCTGCTCAATCAGAACACAGATTGCTCAAACGTTCATTAACAATGCCATATATGGAGCGCGATTTAACCAAAGGCCCATTGAGCTGATGGAAAATATGCCTATGTGCGTTTCACATGTAGGGAATTTCAGTGCGAAAATATGAGGAATTGATGGGACCATTTAGCGTCGGAGGACTCGTTAGATGCACAGATTTCCAAAGGGAAAATGTTTGAGCACGCAGTGCTGTTATTAGTGCCGGAGATAAATAGGGTAACCAGCAGTGCCCGCATAACAACACCTAAGGCAGAACGAAAGTAAACAACAGAATAATCACCCGATCTGGCGAAGAGGTCGATTGTCCAGAACTGGCGCTGCCACTAGGCCGAGGAAGGGGACTGGACAAGGTGACCTGTTCCCTGGATGTTTGTCCAACTATGCTCGACCCAGGCTGGTCATCCATGAATGCATCCCCAGGTGTTGGGGGAGCGCCCAGTGGATCCTCGAAACAGTCGAATGACATGTTTACGTCGATCACCTGAAACATTTGTGAAGGCATAGCGGTGGTTTCAAACAGGTATCAAAAGTGAACAACTTCACAGAGTGGATAACTAGACAATACTGATTAGTGCGCACTACCTTACCCAACACAGTCGTAAACAAAAAGGAATTGTGAAATAAAGAGGAATTCAAGATACAACATGAATAGTTCTTTAAAAAATAACATGATACTAATTGTGTAAACCAACATCGGTAATGGAACAAGTGCAGTAACGTAGGCTGAAAATGTATGGATTAGCGTAAGTGAATAAGTGGTAACCAATGAGATAGTGCATTCGAAAACCTTGACTTGTGAGCGATGTACTGTCGTAGTGAGTATAATGTGGGTCCGACTAATAGCATATGACAGGCAGTCAGACGAGGTGTAACATTTTCCTTGCAGATTAAACTCTAAGGCTGACACAGATTAGAGAAGCTATATCCGAGACGATCACAGACTTATGCTTCATGAAACAGAGTAGCATCCATGAACGAACCACTGACACAGTGTTTCAGAACTGAGACCTCTCCTCCAAGTGCACTTAAGAGCTGTGATTCTGGCCACTTTGCAAATCACATAGGTTCGGTGTACTAAAACTGCTAGAAGCATAAGCCACTAATTACTGAGTCTTGTATTATCCGCCGTGTGTCTGCATAGCGACACGCAATCTCGATTGAGGCTACAGTTTGCTTTGAAGCAAACCTATGGCATTTCGATCAACAATGCCGCATCCGAAGTGGAGAGTTTCGTAGCTGTTGGGATAAAGTAGCTCTGAAACTCTCCATCATCAGCCACTAAATCTTGTCAAGCATAAACGGATTTAACAAGCAGTGCAGAGTGAAGGGAGTAGATTTTGCATCTAATCGTGGCGAGATCCTGAGAGATCAACAACCAAATACTGCTCTGGTGTCACCAGATACTTAAGGTCGGGACGATACCTACTGGCGACCGCTGGGGGGAGTTGGACTATATCACTTAAAGGTTCAATGAGTAAGACACACCCAAATGATAACTGACTTATGATGCATTTCCCCAAGCTTTTCAGAAGTAAATCGTGTCGAAAGTCATCAGTTCAGTTAAGCTGAACAATTACGATACGGGCGCCAAAGTGTAGGAGATCCAGTAACCAACACGCCCGCCGACAGGGTAACAATAACTAACAATGGTGAGAAAATGAGAAAAAATGCAAACAGAATAGAGGTTAAAAAAGAACCGCGGTACGAAATATCAACAGCCATATGCGAGAAGCCGAATACAGAAGCGCATTGACTGCACCAATGCGCGACATCCGACAGAGTCTCTGAATAGTAAGATGAAAGATCCCAAAGTAATCCTCAACAAACGCGGCATGTACTAGCTTGAGCAAGTCTCACAGCCAATTTCTGCATGAATTAGGCACGACATCGATTCACCAGCTGACCGAATTTCGTGCAGTTACAGCATACAATGCACGCCAGGTAAGGTAGTCAACGGTAGACGTGGAGCGAACTAGCCAACATAGTAGCGAAACACTAGCAGTAATACACCAGTGCACTCTCCAGGGGGTCACTCAAAGCGTGCAGCCCTACACATCAGCATATTCAGTAGTGATCGCATAGCTATTGCGTCAGACCCAAGGAGGGCTTTCGTCCGCATGCTCCAGGTTTTTCAGTCGGCCACGTGGGGGAACTTCTACTACGGTAGAAGCTGAAAGAACCGAGAGTTCATGACTATTTCGATAACAAAATTGAAGAGGAAAGGAAATATAGGACAACCCTAGCGAAACCCACTTGTCGTGGAGAACTCAGGAAGCAGTTCCCTGTAGACCCTTAAATGCACGGCCTCGGGAGTCAAGGTAGAGACGGCACAATGGAAAGGAATTTAGCTGGCTGGTTTGCCGAACAACCTTCTCATGGTGCCAGCTGGGTGATACGGGATTTTTCCGTTCCAGCAAATGCTTCAGCGGAAGTGTTCCAGGACGTGGTAGGTTTTCCCATGGCAAGCGTTCTCCCTATAAAAAGCCACATATACCCGTTTAACAACATCGTGACGTGGCGGACGTGACTCGCCACTAAATAAAGTCACTGCTCCTTGCTTCATCCTAGCGAAGCATTATATTAAAGCAACTTTATGCTGTAAATCTTGGGAGCATTGGGCTCCTGTTTGACAAAGGAACAAACGAAAGGCATATGAACTGAACAATCAGTCACCGGCTCACAATGGGTGCGATTCCCTGAATTCGCTCCGCTGCCTTGCGGACAGGCCATTCAGCCAAAGACTCGTGGTGGTGTCCCTTAAGTCAACACCCTACTTCGGCTTGGACAACCGGGTAGCATCTCGCCCTCTGACGAAACCATGGACTTTGATGTGTTGTGTTTTCTTTTCCTATTTCTGTACATTCATTTGAGTCCCAGGATTTCTGATAGCTCTATGTCTATTCGTAGACTGTTGCATATATATATATATATATATATGGCACGCCCTTCATAGATAGGAAGTGCCACAAGCTGGCGCGATCAACACAATCGAAGGCGGATTTCAAGTCAAGGAAAACAACCATAGCCGATCGTCTCTAAGCTTGTCTCCGCTCTAAAACTTGGCGAAGGGTAAATATGCAGTCGACGCAACCATAAACAGGGCAGAAGGCAACCTGGTTTTTCAGCGATTCGGTTCTCACGGTGACCAGTAAGTCGTCGAAGATTGATATGCGTGTGAAGTTTAGAAACAATGGAAATAAGGCTAATGATTCGGTGATTTTCGCACAAAGTACACTGACTATTCTCGAAGATAGGCATCACAGCTGGTAGTCGCCAGATGTTAAATAGAGAAGCAAGTCCAAGAAATAAGGAGTCACTTCCATCTTTCGATAAAGATGGAAGAAGGCCGTCGGGTCAAAAAGTCTTGCTGCGTTGCAACACGGAAAGATCATTTAGAATCTCTTCCAAAGTAGGACGTATGATAACTACGTCCCAGGTGGGCTCAGATGATTCCGCAAGCGGTAGTGTCGCAGCAGGTCTGCTGAATGTCTGTTCAAAATATTACGCCCAATGGACTAGTCGACAAGGCTGAGCATAGATCGACAGTCCATCTTTCTCAGCTATGGTCTAGGTTAATGATATCTTTCTCGTGCCAGTGTATTCCGGATGAGCTGGATTAGCACCCCGCTGTTCCTAGTACCACTTGCTTTTACCAACTCATGGGCACTTGTTACCCATCAACGTTTCCGGCCAATATGAAGAATTCCTGTTAAACTTCGTTTCATGGCGTTACGGAAACATTAAAACGTAGAGCCCATTACAACTTGTTTCCATGCTTCGAGCAAACTAATTGTTGCCTCAGAGATCCATTAATAGTTCCAGCACCTCAAAGTTCGGCGTACAGTAGGCATCAGACGCATTCTTTAGGGCATACTTGCGACTATCCCAGTCATCGTTCGGCTCGCCAACGTTATTCATCACTGACAATTGCTGGACCAGTTCGTCATGATGTCAATGAACAGCAGAATGCCAGTGCAAGTTGCAGCTCAAGTTAGAAGATAGGTGCTTCTTCGAAGCGGGAAGAGTAGCGCCAGGCGTGCGAACAACAGATCATCGTCGGAATCCAAGCGCGAGCTCCAAATTGAACGACAGGCTTAGACTGATCTACACCATCTGTAACTGATGGAAATTTGTGTCCAGGTCCTTGAGGAATTCGGTGGGTGCCAGATGACGCAATGTAAACGATTGTGCTGGCAAGCGGTGCTGTTACTATGAAGAATGTGGGCAATAAAGAAAGCGATCGTCAGTGTCCATTCGACGTATACTGACCCTGAAGTGGCATCCCCGGTTTTGGTCAGAGTCCGAAAATCGAACTGCTTGGGCAGTGAGATTAACAGTATCGATCACAACAGTATTCCTCTCCATACGGAGAAGAGCTGGTGATACAAATCGTTTTGATATCCGCCGAATTAAATTCAGTATGGCATGAACGGAAGGGATGTAAAAAGCACTCTGTCCTTCGAAGGTGCTTAGTAGACTAAATTTAGGTACGAAGTTGAACCGCACACATGCGGTTGCTCACTGGTACTCAGTCTGGTAGATTGCCTTCAGCATACTTGCTGAGGGCAATACCAACAGCGTAACAAACTTGAGCCATTGACTCGATATCGTCAAAAAGTGAAGCCATTGTCGACAGACGGAGTTAGTGGCATCTGTTGTTCGATCCGACACAGGGTAAGGAGGTTGAACGAACCAATGTAAAATGAGACCCATGCTTTAAGAGACGAGTTACGTGTGCCGACGTTACCATGTAACAGCAGCCACAGGAAATAGTGGACCGGTTCACTTACCATTGTAGCTGTCACCTCTGGTGGTCATATCACTGAACAGGTTACTTCGCGTATCAGAAAGACCAGTGTGGCTTCTCAGAAGTTAAACCATCAATGGAGACGATGGTATATCAGCTTGTCAGTGAAAGGTAAGATGTGTAACGATGTGGTAAGCACGGTCTGATTGCATGTATCAAAACCCTAGCCAGTTAATAATGAACATATCAAACGTCTGGCCGTGTTTGATGACCGGTGCTTGCGGAGTATCGCTCACATTTGGTGGGAACACCGGGTAAGCAATGCTGAGATCCACTAATGGATTTTGGCCAGAAGCCTTTTGGTGTCTTACTCGAGTGTTTATTCACTCTTAAGCGCTTACGTTGGCTAGGTCATGTCATCCGAATGCCAGTTGACCGGCTTCCTCAGCGTGCATTATGCGCCGTGGCTGCACAAAGTTGTGTGGAACTGCGAAGTGGCCGGTCGATGACGTTGCATGAAGGCAAGCGGAAATTGACTGAGATACTTGATCAAGCTGTTGTGTGCCGTCTTCGTCTCTGGATGATCCACGCCAATGGTTGGAGACTGTATCAGACATGGCGCAGTCACGAAGTCAGTGGCATTCCTGCATTCGGTTTCCTGCATCTGATTGTTTTAATTATCGTTCCATTCTGATTAGTCTAACGTATTTCCTTCTTGCTTTCATTTTCATTACATTCCATTTGCCTTTAACCCAAGCATCTTGCCCTCGTTATTTATTGTTATCCTTGCGATATAAGTCGTGGCAATTGAATCCACCGAAATTCGGTGCTCGGATCATAGTTTTCCAACTGAAATGAAATGAACTATCTAACTGCCACATGGCGCAACTTATCATCCACTGCCATGCAAGTGACAAACGTTACATGGGAAAGTGAGAAGGTCTCATGGATCAGTGACCATAATACTGCAGCTTTTAAAGCGATGCGGAAGTGGAAACCTTAGTAATCTAGCTCACTAGCAAGAGACAACCCGTTAGTTATAACGATTGAGCTGGAAAAAAACCCATCAACCCTAATGCCCTGATAAAGTTAATATTTTGCAGTTGATAAGTTAGCTGGGGCGAAAAAATGAAGTGGTGCCAAATCGCTGATGCGATTGATTCAAATGTCTCGTAATTGGAGAAAAAACAATAAAGCAGCAACTATTGGGAGAAAGCAAAAAAGTTCGCATCTCACCCACCGGTATGGAGCACTGTTGTTCTCGGCGACTGAATTGTAGCAGGCACGCGTGGGCGCTACTCGCAGTGAGAAGAAGACGTGAATGGGGGCAAAATTGCATGATCCGAATGGCGTAGGGATCTGAATCTGTGAGTAGCAAGTTTGGCGAAAAGAAACGGTTCAAATCATCTTGGCATGTGGAGGTGGAGATTCCGACATAGTCACCGGGGTGCTTGGCATCACGTAGTCCCGCAGCAAAGTATTTAAGTGTGCGTACTTTGTACAGCGGTGTTAAGCTGACTGAAAGATAAGTGTAGCGAAAGAAAAGTCCATATAGTATAAAGAATAAGTAAACAAATAAATAGTATTTGCTCGACATAGCGAAGCACACCTGATCATGGGACTGGGATGTAGGCAACAGCAATTCGAGTTGGCAAGTGAAAGGGAAGAAAAGAGATACGCAGAAGGAAGGCTACTGAAATACATCGGAGCCAACCAATACAGAAGACGCTGAATGATACAGGTGATTTAGAAGCGAGCAAAGTAAGAACCAATCATGTGTGTCCGAAAATACGGTGTTAACGGAAACTGGACCCTGAGATAAAGATCCATTAACAGCGACGTAGACCTGCCGGTCAAACTAAAAAGTGACGCTTTTAAACAAATGTCAAGAAACGGGGGATAGCAAAGAAAGCAAACGGGTACAGAAGTAAGCAACTTTCTAGCAAACATATCGCCTCTGCCTGCGACTAAAATGATGCTGGTGCACGCCGATCTTCTTGGTCGGGAATTCTTCCGTAGCAGATGGAGATTGAATGCTGGTCTCCTTTACGGAAATGGATTTCTCGTGTGGCGCGCGTGCCCAGAAGTCGACAGCAAAAGAATACCGGTTTGTGATCGCAGTGGCTTTATTGACGCGACCGAGTTCATGGATACATTTCTTAAGCTGGATCATCAGCATCCCGACGGCGTTGACAATTGGAGGGAGGGTAGGCAGATCTCGTTCTCTTTCAACCACTGCTGTGTCTGCACTGAAGTATCCTTTGATAGTCATCCGACAGCCACTTGTGTGTCGCAGGACGTCGGGATTCAAATTGCTTCCGTCATTTCATCCATATTTACGATGAACAATGGAGCCTTCCTATCTGTATGCATTGTTGATGTTACTCGCCGTGCTCATGTTGACATCGTTGATTTGAGCAGCCTCGTGTATGATTCTGCTGTCGACAAGTACAGGCTTAATAAGAACCGCTTTTTTTGCGCCAAAAACGTCCGATCGTACTGTAAATGACACGGAGACGTGCCCTCTCTTCGTTTGTCGCTCATTTTTCGTCATCTCGTGAACTAATAGGTTACGGTTGGTTAAGTCACAACAGGATGCACCGTTCGGACACACACACATATACAAAATACAAGGCCGATAAAGTGAAGGGGGACAATCTGGTCATCGTCATTGATCGAAGTGGACGACGCTCACGATCAACTCAACTCACGGACATAACAGAAGGGTTTACACAAGCTTCTCTGCATGCACAACTCCGGTAGTATCAGCCTGGTCGCAACGCGTCTTGGACACCGTGCAGTTTGGCCTAAAAGTCCAGTTTATATTGAGAAAGACAATATTAAGTGCAAACTGTATAAACAGTACAATAATCTGCTCTTTGTTCATGCTTCAAGCCTGTTGAAGCTCAGCGTACCCAGTGATTCACTCATTCATCAAGCTAAGACGTTCCAATTATGCGCCCTAGTGCCGGGGTAGTCTGAACCCATGAATAGGCTCGAGAACATCACCATAACGCGTGTAAAAACAATTACAATCGCTAGTCACGGAAAATGGACATCAGTTGATATATGGATTAAAGCGGGAAGATAAACTAACCTTGAGAAGCGTCCCAAAACCGAACGGATCCGTCAGAGTGGCTGTAAGGTAGAAAAGTACGGTGCGTCATACGTTTAAGAAACGGGAGAGGGGGGATAAGGTAGAATGATGCAAATCAGTCGTGGGTTAACTGACAGTGACTGTGATGTAACACGCCAACGTTCCCCACAAGATTAAGAAAATATTGTAATATGCGAATAGTCAAAAAAGCAGGTCAGTTGGCTCCTAGGCGTACATTCACACAGCAAAGCAATATTCAGGTAATAGAAAGAGAAGTAAGGTGATGTGAACTGCATACCCTAGAAGCAAGGAAATATACTGGGTAGAGCGAGTATGTAGTTTATGATGAGTGAATGACCTCAGGTTCAGTAAATTCAATGGTGAACGACAGCACAGCATCCAAGAAACCAAGACCACGAGATTACAAAGGTGAAGTGAGAGAAGGATAGAACAGAATTACACAGTTAGAAAGAAAAGACAGATTATCGGTATTGGATTAGGTAATGTAACGGGTATACATCGGAAAAAGGAAACGAGTGATGGGTGTGGGGAGTTAACTAATTGACGTAATTCTGTGCCATAACCACTGGAAAGCAAAGAGAGCGAAAATAACTATTATTTACATAAAACGCGTACAACGAACAGGTTAAAACTGGAAAGGTATGGAGGGGACTAAAGCAGAAAGAACACGGCGCAGATTAGTTGCAAGATAACTAATATGTTCGTCTGGACAACACGAATACTACGGTAAATGATACGGACTAAATTATCGCAGTGAGGGCTGAATATAGCGGAATGCAGTGGCGCGTCAGTCTCAGCTCACCTATGCTCAGACCAACAGGCGAAGCCGGATGCTCTGAAGCTAAATCAAAGTAAGATGGCACCCGAGCTAGGCAAGTGCTCAATGAACACACTTGAGAATCACTGGTCACATATCTGCCAGACGTTGTCAGAAGTACGCAAGCCTCCGTATCACATATCGGATTACCAAGCTGAACAATGGGTACCCCCTCGGACTCTGGAACTAATAAATGTTCGCAGATGCGTCCCAGGTCGCAAAAATTTCGTGCTATTCTGAAAAAGGCCATGAAAGCTGGTCGTCTTTTCGTGCAGAGGAAGTGGAAAAAGTCGCTGCTATTAGAAACCATCGGAAGTTATGCTACCGGGTATGGGAAATCGCCAGCAAGTGACCTGGTGTCAGCGAAACTATATGACACGAGAGGTGACAGCTCATCCACAACTTGTCGAGACGCTTGGACAGTTAGGCTGAGCATTTGGAAGCCAATTAATACTACCGGAACTACTGTGTTCCTTAGTGGTAGTGAAGATCCAATCCACTGGGGTTTCTCTTTAGATCCAACCTCACGTGCAGAAGTCTAATGTGAGATCACACTTATGAAATTGTATATTACCGCAGAACTGGGATATGATGGCGGCTAAAACATGGTATGAAGGAAATCATTTGCCTCAATGCGGTCGATCAGGCTATCAATCGATTTGGTGAGTTTTTAGAAACAGCTGATTGTACAGAACTCAGAATTGTGAGTAGAACGCTTGTGTGCTGAGTCGGTGGATTTTCTTTCTTTTGACGCGGCTGGCAGACTCAGACTCGCAACAGGGGACCAGCACTTGTGGATGGTTTACATGAGTCATTAGTATAAATACGGAGTCAAGAAAATGCCCCAATCGGTTGGAGCTGCTACGTAATAGTCCACATTTTAAATAAGCTTCACGTTCGGAATGCTGCAATCATAGGGATCTTCTTCTATTTTCTATCGCCCTTTAGCTGCTTGATTCTATCCTACTTTATGGATTGAATGGCACCAGTGAAAGCCAGCTAAGTGAGGGACAAACCGTGTTTAGTCGAAATCGAGGCTGCATTGGCCACAGCGCTGTTAGAGCATCACCACGTATACTGGCAACTCATCCTGCACGTATCCTTTGATACAACAAGTGTCTTTAATTCGGTGAATCAATGTGTTCTTTGGGAATATTTTGGTGTGTTAGAGGACTAGGTTAATACATAAAGATTGCTTTACGAGCGTATTTCGGGAAGAGTGAGGTTTTATGGCAAGCTGTCGCCGCCCTTCAATATCTCCAGTGCAGTGTGACAGAGATGCTCGTTGTTGCCTTACTCTTCTGACATTGGTTTTGACGAAGTTATGGAAAATGCGTTCGTGGGATACGACTTGAAAGGTGTGGGACTGGTTCCGGGTAATTGACTTATTGACTTTAAGTCTGTAAACGATGTTGCTCTCATCCGTGATTGTTCAGAAATGTGTCAAGCAGCACTGGGTAGATAAGCACTGGTCTTTATCCGATTCGGCCTTTGCTTTTTAGACTCGAATACAAAGCTATCCTCCAATAATGGTTAGAACCACACCATAGACTGAGTCTATGTTGGGGTTAAAGAGGCCTAAAGAATTCAACTATCTGGGATAGAAGATGATGTGATAAGCTGTGTAGACAAATCCCGAGACATCCCTATTAAACCTAATTACTTTTGGTGCCGGCGCAACGTCACACACGTCCTGTAGGGTAGTCCATAAAACAGCTGTCCGTTTAAGCCTACTGTATGGCTGCGAGACCTGATGCAACATATTCGACAGACTCCAGACGCGTGCGCAGTTGAGCTCACATCTGTTAGGAATAACGCGGAAAGAATGGACGTGTTAGGTATGTTATCTTTGTTGTACGGAGAGAAGTGGAATCGATTTGCATCAGACTGCGATGGCTAGGCCATGTCTGATGCATGCCAGCACATCGACTCCAAAATCTTGCGTTATCTACGCAAATGGAATCTTAAATGAGAAAGAAGAGGGAAGGCAACAGATGAATTGGTTGAAAGGAATGAACGCGCTTACTTCCGACTTTGCCTCGGTTTCTACCTCTCAAATCACGGGTTGGGGCCCCAAAGACAATGAACATGTTTTATTGAGGACTCTTTTACACATGGCTGAGAGACGACCTGTGACGTTTCTGTTGTCAATTTCATGGTTCCAGTCCACCCACTTAAGTTGCATTCCAAACTTGACTTCATTTTTCATGCATAAAAGTTAGTGTACAACTATTTGTTTCCTGTACTTTTGGCCTTATTTCTTTTCCTAAAATCTAATTGCTTTGTATTTAAGAATGTGAGCTGAGGATATGGTTCGCAAACGAAACCAGTGGAAAATCTGTGCACATACTCGTTTAGATCCAGATATTTAACGCATAAAAATTTAAAAATAATAAATAGCGTATGAAAATTAAAAAAATGTTTTGTTTTACATTATTGTGGCACAAAAGCTGAGGTGTGCTGCTCACCTTCAACTAATGTTACAATTATGATGCTGCGACGACTTTACCTATCATCCGCTGATTTTCATGATTTTGGCTGGCTCTGCATATTTATTAGACCATTGATGTAACAACAACAACTACTACTGCTGCTACTACTACTAGCTGAGAAGTTTCGCATGTTTAGCCAAATGTGCAGTAACTGAAGGGAAGAAATTGGGCAATGCAAATGAGAGTAATAAAATGCAGATTGTTCTACTGCGTAGTATGGCGTTGTGTAAAGACGGAAATGTTGGTTGACAACTACCAATCAGGGAGTATTTTCAGACATTTAATACACAACGAATGACCGGTTGTCATTGTTTGACGTTATGGCGGACAAATCTGCTCTTGGGATTCAAGAAACAACTGGCGATAGGAAAACGATGCACACGGATTAAATCCCAAACGACCAAAGCAATCAGCGAGCAATGCAAAAGCGCAGCCGAATGAGAACCCTTCCCAAAGGAGTGCATCACATCAAGGTCCTACAAGGGCGGAGGGGGGGGGACAGGTATCCAGTACATTCTACTTGAAGTCCAATCTCAGAAGTTCCAATCTGCACCCCCAACACAAATCAAATCCAAACCGCTAAGAGAGAAGAGAACTATTACTCCACCTTATATAAATGGGCAAATTTAGCACGTATGTATCTGACGTTACCGGTATCTGGTTGTTGAAGAATCCAGGTGACACGGCGCTCATAAGCTGTTATTTAGTCAATAATCGTGTTTTAATGTGCAAATGCCGAAGAAAGTTAAAATAGCTTGCACAACACACAAGATTAAGACTATTCAGCCTTGGGTTGACACATCGTTGCGGTCAACTAGGCAATTGGCTGGTTGCAGGCTTCAATATGGGATCTAGTCAGGTGTCGTGAATTCCGTGAGGTTACTGACAATTTGTCATTTCTCAACGTCTTGATAAACCGACAAGAGTGAACAAACGATCGAAGACATGCGGTGTAGGCATTCGCTCGAGTAGACTCGCGTGAGATGCAAGAGTGGAATTCCACTAAAGTATCCAACGAGCGCAATGTGTCTGCAGGGAGACCTTTCTTCAGAAATTCCCTGCAGGGATTTTCCATTCACAAAACATCAAGAACAAACATTAGAAGGATAAACTGAATTCAGGTATTTCCAGTATTCTCGTCAGCTAAATATGTCTACCCGGTGAAATTATCGAGTTGCGTACAGAAGAAAATGATCAATCAGGCGAGGGTGGCCGTAAGTTCAGTCTATTTGAATAACTTACGCTTTAGAGGCCGAATAGCTGAAGCTTCGGCAAACTGAGGTAAACGGGGTTTACCCTGTCAGTTAGTTTTTTTTGTACGAATCACGGAGAGTTCGCTCTCAACTGATTTGTTCAACAGATCGTTGTTTGAAGGCGCATTGCCGAGCGACTAGAAATGCTCGGTAGTGAAGCCGATCCCGAAGAATGCTGACGCGATAAAGCGGAGAATTATTGACCGATTTGTCTGATCTCTAGTTTGGCGAAAGTACTCGAGAAGATTGCGAAAAGGGGGACTTCTCCAGCTGTTAGGGCCGAAAGATCTCCTAACCCAGCACAGCGCATCTTCATGAATGGCCGCTCGCGCATCACCAACCTGCTGTTGATGCGGCACCGATGGCTGCAGGCATTGAACCGGGGGAAATCAGTAGATGTTACCTAAACTGATTTCAGTAAAGCTTTCGATAAAGTGAACCATGAAGTCCTGCTCCAC